GAAACACATACAAATATTCAATGTTCGAAACCATCGAATAATATCTTCAGCTCAATACAGAATGGAGGAACAGATAAATATATGCACAGTTTCTGAAAGGTCTCATAAGTCACATGAGGTACTTTTGCATTTCTTTTATACAAAGTGCAGTACCATACTAGCGCACCTTCATTGTATTCTGTGCATACTGTGGTGATCTTCTCTTCAAACTATCGTGTCATCGTGCAGCTGATTTCAAAATCAGGTGCTTCTCACAAGGTTTTCAGTTTATCTGTCCAGCTGTGAACAAAACGCGTGTTATATTATAGTAAACTGTAAAACGACGGAGAAGCGCCATTGTGTGTCTATAGCTATGGGTATCAGAATGAACTATAAATTAAAATGTGTGTGTGTTAGAATGCCTCCAAACAATGTATGTGCTACTGAGCGTGGCAGAGAAGCAGAAGAAGCGAGAAGTGAAATAGCAGGCAATACCAGCAGCACTTAATCATGCAAGTTTCTTTTTAGATCACCACAGCAACGCAAGCTCCAGTTTCTGTCTTGTACGTGAATGGAAATGAGGCCGCTGACAGCTGAATGTTTCAGCGTTGGTGGTACCCGACACGAAGTCGTCTCGCACTGCTACCAACCAGCGCACGCTTGTTATTAGCTTGGTAACACACGAAAACGATTTGCACCGAAGCCAACGAATGTTTCAGCGTCGTACAATCCGCGAATACACTTCTATAAGTACGTATGTTTTCACATCACCGAAATGTGTCAGCTAGTGCAAGGTTCGCTTTCAGCGATGATGAATATCGATGTTGAAAACAAACACAGTGCCGATAAAACTCCTCCGTGTGAACTACGCGATGTTTCGGGCGTCGTATATGGTGTCTATGTTGCGACGTAAACTACCGTAGAGTTTTTTCAGCCTCGCATGTGCTAGTTCATACGAACTAGACGGTAAAGGCCTGCGCTGGATGCAGATGACACCGCTCTGAATTGCCTCCGCGGTAGGCGAGGGCTCACGCTGAAACCTTAATGCAAGACTTGTGGACGTTTTCTTTAGTCAAAGTATTCTCTAAAATGACAAACGACAACCAACTGTTCATGAAGTCACAGATATCTGTCATAATATTTGAACTGAAACCGTAATGCAAGACTTGTGGACGTTGTTTTTAGTCGAAGTATCAAAAGTGGCGTACATATATACAAAATGAAAGGATTTAAATAGTAATATCACAATAACTGTGCCAAAGTAAACAATATCACTACCCTTGAGTGTACCCGGTAAGAAATCAGACAAATAGAACTTTATTATAATACAAGTGCCTCCAAAAGTCAGACACACTTGTATTAGGAATCAAACCAAGTAGATCAATCCAGTGTTTGGTACCATTATTTGAACGTGTTAGAGAACACTACAAAGACTTCTAAGCTGGATGGTGATTGCAGATCAGTGCTGTGTTGAAGGCTTCAGCACTTTGCTGGTAGTTTAAATATCCTTTAACATCTACAAAATGTATCTGACACTTTTTGATGAGACAGACATTGGTTTTAATATTACAGCCAAGCACTGTGGCTTTCACATATCACCAATTGTCGAAATACCCTATAATGCAATAAAGCATGCCCAAAATTTTTGATGGGACCGATACCGATCATAGGATTGCACCAGAGCGCCATACAGAACTTTTGGCAAGTTTTCCAACAGAGCTACACTGGATATGCTTAAGTGCAAGCATATATATAATCCAAGTTAATGCATATATTAAAAACTGAACAGAAATGAAGCACTCCTTGGAAACACATACAAATATTCAATGTTCGAAACCATCGAATAATATCTTCAGCTCAATACAGAATGGAGGAACAGATAAATATATGCACAGTTCTGAAAGGTCTCATAAGTCACATGAGGTACTTTTTGCATTTCTTTTATACAAAGTGCAGTACCATACTAGCGCACCTTCATTGTATTCTGTGCATACATGTGGTGATCTTCTCTTCAAACTATCGTGTCATCGTGCAGCTGATTTCAAATCAGGTGCTTCTCACAAGGTTTTCAGTTATCTGTCCAGCTGTGAACAAAACGCGTGTTATATTATAGTAAACTGTAAAACGACGGAGAAGCGCCATTGTGTGTCTATAGCTATGGGTATCAGAATGAACTATAAATTAAAAATGTGTGTGTGTTAGAATGCCTCCAAACAATGTATGTGCTACTGAGCGTGGCAGAGAAGCAGAAGAAGCGAGAAGTGAAATAGCAGGCAATACCAGCAGCACTTAATCATGCAAGTTTCTTTTAGATCACCACAGCAACGCAAGCTCCAGTTTCTGTCTTGTACGTGAATGGAAATGAGGCCGCTGACAGCTGAATGTTTCAGCGTTGGTGGTACCCGACACGAAGTCGTCTCGCACTGCTACCAACCAGCGCACGCTTGTTATTAGCTTGGTAACACACGAAAACGATTTGCACCGAAGCCAACGAATGTTTCAGCGTCGTACAATCCGCGAATACACTTCTATAAGTACGTATGTTTTCACATCACCGAAATGTGTCAGCTAGTGCAAGGTTCGCTTTCAGCGATGATGAATATCGATGTTGAAAACAAACACAGTGCCGATAAAACTCCTCCGTGTGAACTACGCGATGTTTCGGGCGTCGTATATGGTGTCTATGTTGCGACGTAAACTACCGTAGAGTTTTTTCAGCCTCGCATGTGCTAGTTCATACGAACTAGACGGTAAAGGCCTGCGCTGGATGCAGATGACACCGCTCTGAATTGCCTCCGCGGTAGGCGAGGGCTCACGCTCAAACCTTCGAACCTCCGAAGTCTGTTTACCGTCGTTTTTAGCACAGAAAGTCACAGATCAAAACAAAAGAACACCGATGTGCTCCTTTCGCTCGACCGACGATCGCACTCGGGACCGGCACTAACATAGCCGGCCGGCATTCGCTGGATTCATCGGCGTCGCTCGAACTTGGCACGAAACCGCGTCACACTGGTAGCACTTGCAGTCGTTCGTCGTGTCCTTGTCGTTCTAGATTACGAAGCGGTCATTCAGGAACGTTTGGAGTAGTTTCCGTGCTTGCATTCAGAACTCGGCTGTGCCTTCGAAGCGGCGGCCATTGGGCATAACGTTCCGAGGCATCGCGGCCCCTGGTTGGTTGGCGCCGCTGTACGCGTGATGACGTATTGTACGCGTGCAAAAATATCGAGCCCGGCTTGATCCCTCGCGCATGCACCTCCGACCAACGTTTCTAAGACTAGGTAAGTTGCAAAACTCCCCGCGTCAGACTACTCGTCACACGGCGCTGGGACAGCTTCCGGTTTGGTGGCACTGGTGGCGCAACAAGCTTCCGCTAGCAGACGAAAACGCGTAGTCGTCGTGGCAAGACGCCGAGGTGGCCGTTCTGAAAGAGCTTTGCCAACAGTAAATTATCGATATTTGTTGTGCTGCCGCAGAAACTTAATACTGCGTAATATTTAGAGGTGAAAGGCAAATATAGTATAACTATGGCTTTCTGAACTGCCCACAATAAACAATGCTTGATATATATAGCATAACATACACGAGTCTTTCGGTTAGTTGCTAGTTGGTGTACCTTCGCAATATATTTTTAGACACAAGAACCCCAATTACAATGTCTTGCATTGTCTGTTGTAGCTGTGTTTTTCGTGCTTGAAAATAAATTACAACTATGTGGCGCAGTCTCGTGGATTTTGTTTGGTTATGTAGTCAGCTTTTCTTTTTTTTTCATGTCAGTCACATTTCTTAGCAACTGAGACAGTCGAAAAGCTACGCGTGTGGCCATTATCTTGAGCATGTCTTCTCTCTGCTTCTTCTGGAGTTCCTCTAATGAAACCTTTTAACACAGCTGCAGCCAAAGCTTCGAGCAGAGACCGCACTTTGGGGTATCGGTGAGCACTTCGTAGTCATCACTCACGAGTCTGCCTGCTGACGCACTGGGACAACATGAACACACTTTCAGCTTTTGTGTCCTCCAGAAGTTCGGCCGATTGGGTGATGGTATCTACATTGTCAGGCGACTTGGCCAAGCGATTGTGACGGCTGCTAATGGTCACTGTCATGTCTTCTGCGATGACAACACATTTATCCACAAATGGCGCTTTTTTGAGCACTAGAAACACCACAAGACGACTTGTCTCGCCATTCTCAGTAAATTTCCACCAGAATGCAAACAAACGTTTTCTATGTCTTGAAGCGAAATGACGCCACTAGTTGACGCCATGTCGGGACTTATTACACTTATTACACTGTCTTCGAGCTCAGTGCTCGGAGATAGTCCATTCTTTTTCGCCGATGATATTCTGGAAAATGCCCCACTCCTATCGGGCAGCTTTCGCTTCCTTGTCGCGAGCCGCGCGACAAAGGTAAGCGGGCAAATTTGTGGTAAATGGGTAAATTCGGGAATATTTGTGGAATGCATCCTTCAACGAGGTCCCACTTTCCTCTGACGATTTGTACCTTCTTACCATATGACGTTAGTAAAAGTCTTCAGGGCGTCCTTCTCATGAAAGTGCATATCACACACACGTGAGTTGCTGGGCAGTTTCTTATCCACACGAGGAATAGCGTGGTCCCATACCTCTTGCTGCTCAGGTACACGTGGGCACAAAAGAAATGCGATGGTGTCTCATTTCCTGTAGCTACTCTACAGCCGGGAACGCAACATCTAGGCATGATGAAAACACGCAGAACAAAGCAGAACAGGGCACGCTGAAGCACCAAACTGTTCACGCAGAAAGAAGCCTCCACAGATATCGACGCAATGCAACATGAACAGGCGATGGAGGTTACGGGAATGACACGAGCAAGCATGCAATGAGTGAATCCGGATGCGACAGCAGCACCACATTTGTCGCTGGCAGCGGCGGCGCCACGCAACACCGGTCAGTTTTGCAACTTACCTAGTTCTAGAAACGTTGCCTCCGACGCCGAGAGGCGCTTTTGACGCGTAGACTATTTTACCACCGCGAAACGCACCGACAATGACGAATGCGGACGTCGAAAACGTGTCCGTCAACGGTGTTTTGGCGCTGGAGACCAAAATCATCACTCAGGTTGAATACTATTTCGGCGATTTCAACCTGCCCCGCGACAAGTTCCTGCAGGAAAAGCTGAAGGAAGACGACGGCTGGGTTACCTTAGATACACTGCTGACTTTCAACAGGCTCAAAAGCCTCACGACCGAGTCGGACGTCGTAGCAACAGCGCTTCTAAAGTCAACCAGCCAGCTGTTGGAGGTTAGCGATGACGGCACCAAGATCCGTCGCAGTCCTGCCAAGCCCGCGCCGGAGAGAAACAAGGAACAGCAGTAGAAACTGAACGAGCTGAGCGTCTACGCCAAGGGCTTCCCGTCAATGGCCACCTTAGACGACCTGCTGGAGTTCTTCGGACGCTTCGGCAAGTGTATCAACGTCTTTATGAGACGCTACCCGGAGACTCGCATCTTCAAGGGTTCCGTGTTCGCCACCTTCACCACGAAAGAAGAGGCCGACGCGTTCCTCGCCCAGGAGGACGTCAAGTACAACGAGCTCGAACTGATGCGCTCCCCCAAGACTGAGTACATGGCGCGCAAGAAGCAGGAACACCAGGCCACTGTCGGAGGAGAAGGCTAAGAAGAAAGCCGCCAACGAGGAAGCCTCGGCTGAAGGAGGAGCTAGAGACGGAGGAGGAGGTGGAGACGCTGCCGCCGCCGAGAACGGTGAGGCCCCCGATATCGTGCTCGGCTGCATCCTGCGCGTCAAGGGTCTCGGCGAACAGACTACCTGGGAGAACCTCAAGGAAGCCTTCGCGCCGTACGCCAAGGTCGCGTTCGTCGACTACACCAGAGGGCAGCCCGAAGCCATGCTGCGTTTCGCGGACGAAGGCTCGGCGCAAGCAGTCCTCGCCAAACTGGGAGCCCAGGAAGAGCCCCTCAAGATCAACAACAACGAGGTGACAGTGGAGGCTGTTGAAGGCGACGACGAAGTCTAGTCAGGAAGAGGCTGACTGCAGCCAAGCAAGATCAGAAGAACCGACTCAAGAATGTTCAACGGGGCAACAAGCAGCAGCCAAGGGGTCGTGGACAGGGTGGTAGGAGGCAGGAAAGGGGCAAGTAGAGAACCACCGAAGCAGATAAGGGTGGGGATAGCAAAGCCAAGCAGTCCAAGACTGATGACAGTGTAACTGCTGCCGGATAAGCAAGAGGGTGTCTGCACGGTGGGTTTACCAATTGGGAGCTGCAACTGTTCTGTGGACAATGTTTTTCACTTCATTCATCATTTGTACTATATGTTAAGAATGGTTGGCAGTTGTAACCTTGTAATGTCTTCATTTGCATTAAATGTACATTTCGTACGCCATCCCATGGTCTGTTTCTTCCCTCTGTGTGACGACGCCCGTGTCGTGCATTTTGCGAAAGCACTTTGCGCATGCGGCTCGGAGTCTTCCTTTAGCCATTTCACGACTGGTCGTGAAACACTGGGCACACTGTATGCGCAATTACAGCATGGCATTTCCATGATGCCTGGTTTTATTGAAAACTGCTATTTGCAGCAAACTTTGCCTTGTATTCGTTGCATTAAATGTTCTCTCAGGGCATTTGCTTGCAGTTCCTATGAGCAGGCTTTAGAAGTTGTGTTTGTCAGCTTTGCACCTATAGAATAAGACCTCTAGGCCTGCGCGGAACGCACAGCACTTTCACGACGAAAGCTGGAAGATCGGTCTTTTAGAGCCTTTGTTTGATGCTCTTGGGTGATTTCTACAAGCACACTTGCTGGGTACCCCATACACCTTAAATCGTAATTTTTGTGAAGTAAGGAGTCATTCAATATCATTCTTCGAAGATGTGTGGTACCAGCTACATACTTGCCAGGAATATTGTGCCATAATTTTATGCTGTGGCTGACAACAATCAAGAATTACGCCTGAAGTAGGTAAGCGCCAAAGTTAATAGGTGAAGAACAAGAAGGAAAATCTGGGCTACTCTACTTGATAATAGTTCATTTTTCGATAACTCACAGCGCAAGAGTCTTTGTCCTTCTTGTGCTGTGAGTTATCACAAAACGAAGCTTTTGTAATGGGGTGAAGCATTCGCGTTGTGTGACACCTTGTTCCTTTACTGTTCTAAAATGCATTATTACTCATTAACAAAATCTCTTTCCAGACATCAAACCTGCCCAAGGTCAGTTTGCACTGGCTGGCTCTGTGGTAGAACACTGGGCTGGCACGCAGGAGACCCGGGTTTGAATCCCATTGTGTATTTGGCATTTCATTTTTTTACTTTGCATGACAGTGGTTACAGATTTGGTGCAGGGGACAACTACAGTACGCACAAGCCTTGTTGTAATGTCATAACGGTTTTCACTGTAAAGCTTCTAACCTGCTTGTCATGCAAAAGGCACGAGTTTAATTCTCACTCGTACCAAAAAATTTTAATTTTTTTAAATTTGTGTCTTCCTTGATCATATGGTCACAGATAAGATCACTTTTTGCTCACATCCAACGATGCCGAGCCAGAATTTCTGTGAAGCAAGCACTTCTACGCTATTGCATAAAAAAATTGGCAGATCTGTCAAGCCGCGAGAGTCTGTGTTGCACGTAGGTGACAAGCATAATATTTTATCGGACAGAACACAAAATGACGCTAGAGATGTGGACGAATGTTATACAAGCACATATGTTCAAGTGTCGCATGTGTGTTTTATAACCAGTTCACAGTTGCATAACAACGCTTACAGCAACATGATTGATACCAACACCAGAAGTGGTGAGCAGATATGCAGTACTTGTCTGTTATGACGGAGAATGCATGCATGTTTCACAAACTCGTGTCCATGTGTGAAACACTCTTGACAGTTCTGGAACAGGGTCATCATCACCGTGTCCAGTGAGTGCTAGCCGCTGAACAGCACTTATTGGATCAGTTCGTGTTTGCGGCTACGAAGGGTATTCGTGTAGTGAAGTATAGTACAGCTGTTTGAAACTGTAAATGCCTGTCAGAGAAAAATATGCCCTATGCCACCTGTCCTGGACGTGGCAATGAGGTCTTGTAATCCCCTGGCCACATTGAAAATGCCTTTAATGTAACGTTAGAGCCAGGCATTTCTGTGTTTTGTCATTGTTAGTCATAATATTGGTTCTTGCAATAGCTGGGATTTGGCGGAATTTCTAATGCGTACGTTCGCGGTTACTGGGTTCATACTGTGAATCTTGTGTGACGCGTACTTGATTAACAGGAACTGTGTTATGCACCCGGGATATGTGCCACGTGTTACGGAGGGAAATGGTTTCATGATGCATACGGCACACATTATGCATTATTCCCGTCATGACCAGTGAATCGTGTTTGTCAAGCAGTGATGCCCTGCTACACCAACTTTGGTATAATACAAGTCATCTAGACTACATGGAGAGCACTGAGACGTAGATGCCTAGATGGATGCTTTTGCATCAATCTAGGCAACTGTCTAGGCATCTATCTAGGCATTACACAGCTGAGGTGGGCCTTTGTACATCGGCAGTTTCTGTCTCGAGTTTCCCTGAGTACTCACCATTTTGTACATCACGTGCAATGCTGTGGAAGCTATGCAAGGAGTTCGGCCAGCAAAACGTGCAACTCTGCGAATGACTTCGTCACTAACGTGACATCTGATTTTAGTGCCGGTGCACCCTCCCGTTTCTTTGTGCTCCTCCTTGGCGCAGCTGTTGAACAGAAGAAAGCAGGGAGAGCACAAAATAATGTTGAACGACCCTGTGGTGTCTTCCTTTTCAATGACACTGAAAGTATTACCATGACGTACCCAGAGTAGAGAGCCTGCATGTGACGTCACGTGGAAACTGAACTGCAAAGCCACATAGTAAGACTTTCAATGGCATTTTTGTTTGTGAGCCATGAAATATTTTTTAATTCTCGCCATAATAACGAAAAAGAAATTGTTCTTGGCGGTGAGAAACCTATAGGTGGAAGGGCCGATTGTACAGCCGTATCCACAAAAAAGCAGTAGTTTTAATAGGCATGGCTCAACCGTGCGAACGTGGTAGCGGGAGCACTGACGACATTGTATGGTCGACATCATCAGTGCAGATCGCCTGAGTGAGAGACATTGAAATATTTTTCGATGCAAACGCATCGATTGCAAGAAATCTCGCTTGCTTCCACAGCGTCGCACATGATGTATGAAACAGTATAGCTTCTCGGTGTCCTGGCTATCTATACGGCATATGCACTGCTTATTTCCGCCAAAATTTACACAGCACTTATAACCAAATTTCAAACCATAGTTTTAATGCTACTACAATCCAGACAGAAATGATTGTGACTTGTTTTTCAATATTCCGCTTTTCATGCTACGAGTTCTGAACCTCGGAAGAAAAAAATATTTCTATTTTACAACGAATATCAGATGCTTAGTGTTTTTGGTTTCAATATAAAAACAACCATCCCTTAACTGAAGCCTAGCAAAAGTTCATACCTAGTTTGCTATGCCTGGTCATTGGCTGCATCAGTGTTCGTTATAATGAGGTTCCCCTGTACAGCCACGGCCACCTCTGTGTCGAGCATGCAGTTGTTGCTCTGTGGGGCCACACCTTGAACGCAATTATTAAAGACAATTACTCAAGTAATTGCCTCCAGTGAATGAGCACAGTGAATGTGCTTATTCACTGTGTGCTGAACGGTACTTACGGATTCAAACGTGACTTAAAATAATTTAGAATGACGACTGGTGTGTGCCATTTCTGAAGATAACTACACTGTGTCGTGACGAAGCTGCTCCTAAAACATAATGTTGGCTCTAACCTAACACACCGAAAACAAAATTATGGCGATGTGACTCGAACTAAAGAAGGTGGTAATGAAAGTACCTGCGATACTTTGCTCTAAATTGTCGTGTTTTAAATCTGCACATACCGTTCATACGTTAACACCATTGTTTTCAGTAGGAAGGGAAAGTATTTTTTCGCTCTCATTGGTGCTTGATTACACATTTAGAAACACTTTGAGGTTACAGTCGAGCCCCTTTATAAGAGACACTGAGTAACAGACTATTGGGTACAAGACGCCACTGTGCCGGCATAAATAAAAATTGGGGGATTCTTAAGCTACGTCGTGAAGAGTTGAATTCGATAGCAATATCCTGTCCCTACTGTGTACCAACTTCAAAAGGGCTTGTATCAGTGAAGCTTTCGCATGTGGCTGCATTCTGTGTAATATATAGCATGCTTTAAACCACAAGCATTTGTGCGCGTGAAATATTTTTGAGCTTGCTATGCACCCAAGGCACAGTAACGTGTGTGCCTTTTCTAGTGGGTGGCCAGCTTTGAACCATGTAGTCGTCACATCACATGTTCTGACGCCCGATCGCAATGTATGCCTGTACCACATTACTGCGATATTACATGTTGCATTGTAATACATGTACATAGGATGCATGCTTTTGTAAAGCATGCAAGTTACTTTAACTGCATTGCCAAGCAGAGGAAGCTAATTTCACTGTATTGAGAAGCAGACTTGTGGCTCTGTGGTAGAACACCCGCTAGCAAGCCAAAAAACCCGAGTTGGATCCTCACTAAGGCCCCAAATTTTTATCATTTTATTTGCATCTTTCTCGATTTTTCGGTCATGCACAAGATGATTTTTTGCTCACAACCATAGACCACGCCACTGGCACTGACATTTCTGCAAAACAAGCTCTTTAACGCTGTCACATTCTTTGAGGAATTGATAGGAAAATGCGTATGTGGTACTCTGCTTATAAGAGACAGCCTCATATAAAGAACACCAGCTGCCAGGTTCATGTCTCTTGTAAAGGAGTTCAACTGCATACTTGATAGGTTTGATCGTCAAGCTGATTCAATTTGACTTGCAAACTTTGTTCTGGAATGCTCTGTAGAGATCCAAAGTCACTTGCAGTGCTTTCTCAGCACTCTGAGAGTGAGCCGTGTCACGTTGTGTGATTTGCATGCCCCAGGAAGATCACCGGCCTCCCGAAATGCAGCCCGTCAGTTCA